TGACTATCCAACCTTGCCTTCTTTTAAAGAATGTCTCCATGAACAAGCTCATGTTTTAAACAGATTCCAAATGCCTAACCATAACCCATACTCGCAAACATACAACTCTCATTAGAGAAATCATCCAAAATTAAGGTCATTTGTACTTTTAGGGCCAGAATATTTGGGGGAAACCAAAGTGAAATAAACACAAACCGAGTTGTTGGAACATAGTAAGTTTGATATCTATGAGATTGCTCGTGTTAAACTCTAATCAACAATATGATTTTTCTGACTGTCACTTGTATCTTGCAGTGGTTATATGGCACCTGAATATGCAATGGAAGGCCTATTTTCAGTGAAGTCTGATGTTTATAGCTTTGGAGTGCTACTCCTAGAGATTGTGAGTGGCCGAAGGAATACTAGCTTCCGTCAAACAGAACGCATGATCCTCATTGCTTATGTAAGTACATGCAAAATGTCACCAATTTAGGCTCTGGTTTGAGATACAACACAGCGTTTTTTACTGCTAAGTTTTCACTCGCTGATCCAATTTCCGACTGATTGCAGGCATGGGATCTTTGGAATGAAGGTAAAGCAATGGACATAGTTGATCTTTCCATCCGAGATTCATGTGATGAAAACGAAGTTCTGAGATGCATACAAATCGGCATGTTGTGTGTGCAAGATTCTGCACTTCATAGACCAACCATGGCATCAGTTGTGCTAATGCTGGAGAGCAGCACAACAAGCATTCCATTACCTAGGCAACCCACTTTCACTTCTGTCAGAGCCTCTATAGACCCTGAAATCTCTCTGGAAGTGCAAGAAGTAGCATCCTCAAGCGACTTGACAGTGAAAGTGGTAGCAGGCAGATGATTACAATCTTTCCTTTTCTGTTCCTCTGCATTCCTTGTTTTATATGTTCATGTGTTAGTTTAGTTGGAAAATAGAGTATATTTGTAAAGGGTCTTTTGTCAATCAATTTTTTACAAAAAAAAAAAAACTATTTTTTGTGCTCTATAAATTGATACTGTGGTTTCTTTCAATCAGCAATTACCAATGAGGTAATGGATTGACAGCAGACTCATTACAGGTTTAGGCCAAAAGCACTTTCACAATCAGAAACTGGCACCAAATGCACGATGGCCAATAATCATCTGATGGGTGGCCAATAATCAGAAAATAACGTAATGCGGATGAACCTTGAGCGACACATGCTTACAAACCGCATGCCCGCCTATGTAAGAATGTTTGATCATAGAACATTAGAATTTGTGATCTAGAAAGAGTTGAAAATTCTACGAGATTGAATGTTTATTGGAGCTATAGTAGACTGAGAAATGACTAGCAATTCAAGAATTCATCAAGCTTGTCATTGATGGGTGGCGGTTCCAACACAGGTCATTCCTTTGACTCTTTTGGTGAAAATAATTTATATCTCTTGGCATGCTCTACACTAATACTAAAAAGGACTATAAGATCAAAAGATAAAAGGTAAAATTATTCATGTATATTTCTTCAATATTTACCTTCCATATTAAAAAACAAGTATTTGAAGTGAAAGGATTTGTAAAAATTATAATGCTAAAAAAATCATATTTTCTACATAGTATTTTCTTAGAGTTTAAATTTTTTTATTTTTTTTTCATTTCCTTAGAATTAATCTTAAAGCTTTTATAAAATCATTTATTGATAAACATAATATGCTATTTTTTACTAGCCTATCCGTTTGGGCTTTGGGCTAGATATAAATTTCTTAAAATATATTATATTTATATCATTAAAACTTTATTAGTATTATCATATAACTCGATATGATGGTTTAAGTTTAAACAAAGCTCTACCCAACTCTTATATTGATATTCAATTAGTCTGAGATTGAATTAATTTTGTTATATGATAAAAAATAAAAAAAAATTAATTTATCATTAACTAAATACCAAATAATAAAATTAAAAAAAAAACTACATGGTGAGTGATATAAACAAAATAATCAAAAAATCTTAGCCTAACTCTTTTATTCATATTTAGTTAAACATGTGATTTAAGTTATGAACTTCACTAGATCGATTTTATTTCTATTTTATTTTATAATAAAAAATCAAAAATTAATTTATTATCAATTAATATTTAAAGATAAAATTTAAGAAAAAACCTCACACACTAAATGATAGATTTGAAAAAAAAATTAAAAAGATAAAAAAATCTCAACCCAACTTTTAATTAATATTTAGTTCACTCATCAAACCCACAATCTCAATTATAAACTTTTTTGATTTGATTTAATTGTTTTTATTATATAATAAAAAAACATAAAAAATGATTTAGATAAACTTAAATAAAATCCCCACACTGGATAATGAAGTTGTCAAGAAGGCCCATGTATATATATATAAAAAATACAAACAAAAAAGATTACAGTTTATCTGTGTTTAATTCAAAGAAATTAGAGCGTGCTCCCCAGCTCCAACCCATGACCTCGGACCTGCCGTGCACGCTGATCACTCAACCATAAGTCAGAGATGCGAATGAAGACCGAAAAAAACATATATTAAGATGTAAGACCACCCGTTTTAGTTGTTTTTATAATACAATAAGAGCACATGTCAGGGTTGTATGCTAAGGAGTGCACTGTGCAAGAGATTGTTCATATGCAGAAGCAATTCTGTATTGGCATCCCATCAATGTGAAGTTTCAGTTGAAGAACTTCTTATTAGTATTAAATATTAAAATTTATTTTAAATGTATATTATATTTTTTTGCACTATTAGTATAATCTTTTTATCTTAATATAATAAATTTAATTAAACATAATAAAAAAACATAATTAAATAAAATAAAAACATAAATAAGATATAAGTTAACTAAGTAAAGGAAAGAAAATGAAAAGTACAAATAAGAGATTAATATAAGTAAAATTTAAGCATTATAAAAATATAAAGAAAGAGAGTAAGAAAATGATCTTAATTTAAAAACCAAGATGTCTAAATACATAACAAATACCTCCTTTTATAGAAAAAAATTTGAAACTATTGATTTGCTGACTAAATATTAAGTAGGTGATCATATATTGACTTGGTGATAATCCTTATCTTCTTATCTGAATAACAAGTCATTGCTAACATTAGAATTTGAATAGACTATCTTCATGAAAGTTCTAGGAAATTGTCTTAGTTTTTTTTTTTTTAAAAAAAAAAGATGAGGTCATTTAAACTTATAGAACTCGAGATATGGGCCGAACAATGAACAGTATTTGGGCTGCAGAACAGATTTCGACTTCTTTGTTGTTGTTACAATTTAAACTTGAAAATGACCTTTTTGAATCCTAGACTTTACATGAAAGTTTTAGGCCTCTATCTTAACTTTCCAACCATATAAAATAGATCTAAATCCAAGTTCTATAATTTTAGATATGGCTTAATGACTGAACAGTGTTTCAGTTGGGATTGAACCAGCATATCTTTTCTAAGTTTAGCCCTCTCTTTGTCTTCTCGATTTCAGTAGTTAAAGTCATCAATCAATCCTATTATTGATATGATAGACTTGCATTTAAGATGAATATTTATCATAAATTAAAGGTATCTTATAATATTAGACATGATATTATAAAACATGATCTAGTTAAGAGTTATTGATACTTTAAGTACAAAATGATGATATAGTAGTCTTAATTACGTCCTCGACTATTATCCTAATAGTCATATTGCAAAACCTTTACATGATAGGTTAAGGAAAAACCAAGTTCCTTGGTCTAACCACCATACAAATCTTGTTAAACAAATGTAGCAATAAATATAGACCATTCCTCTCCTCTATTTAGCTGATTTTTTAGCTCCTAAGATCATTGAAATAGACGCCTTAGATTTAAGATACGAGGGGATTCTTAAACAAATACAAAATAATAAAAAATAAATTCTCTAGTTTACCTCTACTCATTGGAACGACTGTAAAAACAATTTACTCCATTATCAAGAAGAAGATTCTTTCAATTGTTCTCTGTATTACAAAATTTCAAAGCTATTTATTAAACTAAAAATTTCTTTTACGTGTTGACTGTAAATCTACAAATTAAGTTCTTCAAAAAGATGTTCAAAATTTAGCTTTAAAACAGATTTTCACCCGATGGTAAGCTATTTTAAGTATTTTTTATTTTGATATTGAATATATAAAAGGAGAAATAAATTCTATTTCTGACTTTCTAACATGAGATTCCTTTAAAATAGGTCATAACGCATCTAAAGACTCGGACTCAAGATAAAGGAAAAGCCCCACAAACTCAAACTAAAAAACCAAATAGCCCAAAACCCTCTTCAAAATTCATGACTTTAGCCATCTTATCTATAAAACAAATCAAAACCTGGTATGAAGCACTAGTGGAAGAAGAAGAAGTAGTAGAAGAAACTACAAAACAATCCAAAAAACAATAAGATAAAATCCAACATTGGGTTAATATTGTCACAGACTAACCCAACTTGCTAGATATTGTCCTTTTTAGACCTTACCGCCCTCATAGATTTGTTTTTGTGACCACATATAGCCCCAAAATACATCTAATAACTTAGCAACCAACACTATAATAAGGTTAGCAACTAACTCCTTACTTGCCGATGTGGGATATTACAAACCACTCCCTTTAAAGAGCCCGAACACCCCGTCAACACTATCGAATAGTCATTAAGACTGGCTCTAATATCAAATGTCATAGCTGAACCCAACCTGCCAGATATTATCCACTTTCAATTTTACCGCCCTTACAGATTTGTTCTCGACGACCACACATAGCCCCAAAAAACATCTAACAAGTTAGTAACCAGCACTACTAATAAGGCCAATAATCAACTCCTCACCCGCCGATGTAAGATATTACAGACACCATTTTAAAATCACCAAAATTACTTTTGGCATTACAAAAGGTCTCTTAACAAGCCTCTAGTGACTAAAAGTCACAATCATGTAATATTTCTAAAACCCTTTTAAAACCACAAGTAGATTTTTCCTCTAAAAAACCATTGCTTGCCTTACAAACTCAACAAACACATATTTCCAAATCTAAATCAACATATATTTTCAAAACTCATTTTCAAAATATTTTGACTATGGAAAAAGGTTTTTACCATAAAAATCCTTCCATCGTTGTTCCTAAACTTTTTCCTCTTAACTAGCACTATAAACTTTGGGATATCACAAAACCCCAATCCTATTATTCTACCATTCTTGAAATAACCAATTTTGTAAAATTCAAAAATTTCAAATTACATCCAAACCACCCTGAACCTATGATTAGTACTTAAAAGTATATTTTTATCAAGGTTTTATATCATCACTTTGTACTTAAAGTATCAATAACTCTTAACTAGATCATGTTTTATAATATCATGTCTAATATTATAAGATACCTTTAATTTATGATAAATATTCATCTTAAATGCAAGTCTATCATATCAATAATAGGATTGATTGATGACTTTAACTACTGAAATCGAGAAGACAAAGAGAGGGCTAAACTTAGAAAAGATATGCTGGTTCAATCCCAACTGAAACACTGTTCAGTCATTAAGCCATATCTAAAATTATAGAACTTGGATTTAGATCTATTTTATATGGTTGGAAAGTTAAGATAGAGGCCTAAAACTTTCATGTAAAGTCTAGGATTCAAAAAGGTCATTTTCAAGTTTAAATTGTAACAACAACAAAGAAGTCGAAATCTGTTCTGCAGCCCAAATACTGTTCATTGTTCGGCCCATATCTCGAGTTCTATAAGTTTAAATGACCTCATCTTTTTTTTTTAAAAAAAAAAAAACTAAGACAATTTCCTAGAACTTTCATGAAGATAGTCTATTCAAATTCTAATGTTAGCAATGACTTGTTATTCAGATAAGAAGATAAGGATTATCACCAAGTCAATATATGATCACCTACTTAATATTTAGTCAGCAAATCAATAGTTTCAAATTTTTTTCTATAAAAGGAGGTATTTGCTATGTATTTAGACATCTTGGTTTTTAAATCAAGATCATTTTCTTACTCTCTTTCTTTATATTTTTATAAT